GGGGTGGAGTGGAGTGGGGAAGGATTTGGTAACATACACTGACAGCCTCACTTTTCTGGGGGTTAGAAACTGCAGCCCTAAACTGGGATCTAAGGTTAAAGGAGGGTCCATCACTTTGGTTACCTTCAAGGGTCTTTGAGACCCTTGAACTGTTCAGTAGTAGACCTGGTTTGGTCACTCAGCAGAACTAGCAAGTTTATCTGAGTTACAGAGATAAAGACAAGCATGGAACTGAAGCAGCCAGGACTCTAATACAGCAGAAAAAGAAGTCCAGTTTTTATTTAAAGCAAAGCATAAGTGAGCATGGACTTTTGCAGGAGAGTGGAAAAGGGTTCCCCTTGGGAGTGAGAGGAAACGCCATACAAAGTCAGTACACAAGTATAAGCATCTTACCTCAGCTCCCCCTATAATTATCTCTAAAGCTTTTCAGTGGTCCCCCTGGGTCTTTAGGTGTTCTTGTACTATTGCCACATGTGCCCGTGTCCTTTCCTTTGTCACCATAATAGTTACTGCAACTTTCCTGGCATCTGTATGGTGGTATCTACCAGTTGGGTGATGTTTGTGAAATCTGTTGTGTGCACTGTTCTGTCACCGTGACCATGACTCCCCTTTGTGTCACAAACTAGAAACTGCATTTTGTGGAGAATAGGACATCATCAATTGGGTCACGAGGTTCCTGAAACTTATTGTTTGCTAAAGGGCCTTTTTTAACTTTTTTTTATCTAGGAGGCCAAACTTTTCTCCTACTTCCCTGTAGGCCCTTTCTGTCCCTCATCAGTTCCACCCACCCCCTGTGGAGGGTTCTCACACTGAACTGAGGGGTGGGAAGGGGGCGCAGGTTGTGCCACAGAGTCTCCCAGGTCTTACAGATACTTAGATTTGCCAATTGCCGTGTGCCCTCAGGACAATTTCCAGAGATGGATGGTTGCTTTTGATTTCTAACAAGTCTCAGCAGCTATGGTTGTTCCACTAGGGCATCTGTGAAGCTCCTCGTGCCACCTCTGTGGAAGTGCTGCTTCCTTGATTTTACTTATCCCCTCGCTTTTGCTGCCTTTGGTTTGCACCACTCCTGAAAACTTCTTCTTACATTCTATTTACTGGGGAACTTAGATTAAGAAAGATTTTTAGGGTGGCGCCTGTGGCTTAAAGGGGTAGGGCACTGGCCCCATATGCGGGAGGTGGTGGGTTCAAACCCAGCTCTGGCCAAAAACTGCAACAACAAAAAAGAAAAGAAAAGAAAAGAAAAGAAGAGAAGAGAAGAGAAGAGAAGAGAAGAGAAGAGAAGAGAAGAGAAGAGAAGAGAAGAGAAGAGAAGAGAAGAGAAGAGAAGAGAAAGTTAGAAAAAAAAAAGCATTTTAGAAAGAGTGTTTAGATATCTGGGTGAAAGTATTGCATGGGTGGACGTAATGCCAAGGGTTGACGAGGTTGGGTATTAAATCTTTTTAATTTTAATTTAATTTTATTTTAACATGTTTTGAAGACAGGGTTGGATTGTAGCTCACTGAAGCCTTGAACCGCAGGGTGCACTCAGTTCTCCAGCCTCAGCCTCCTGAGCAGCTGGGACTACAGGTGCACACCACCATGCCCAGCTAAATCTGTATCTGGACCAGGAGTAGTAGGTTGCTGCTAAAATTAAGCTATTCTACGTCTTTCCCTAGGTTGGCCTCCCTTCTCTAACAGTGATTATACTCGCAGCCATCGGTGGATGACAAAGCTAAACAGATTTGTCGTATATCCACAAATATTTGGAATTTCAGAGCAGAAAGGGATACTTGATATGGACAGCATTTTCACTTTATAGATAAGAAAAATGAGGCTCAAACAGGTAAAGTGCATGTTTTAATGTCCATCAGATAATAATTAATGCCTAAGAACAGACATATTTTGATTTTAAGTTTTGGTCTTTCCACAAAACATCATGGGAGACTCTCATGTTTTTAGAAGAAAAATACAATAAAAACCTAAATAAAAGTAAAATTCCATTATAAAGCGGCCTTTTCATAAAAGCTATTCCTAAACCCCTTTCTGGGAGAAAAATAATTGACCCAAGATGGTCCCCTTATTGTAGGCAGCCTGGTGGTCTCATGTTGGTGACTGGATCTATTTTGTAATCAAAGTGAAGGAAAGAGGAAAAAAAATCCCTGTGTGAGCTTTTAATCCTATTGTCTTGCATTCAGGTATCGGCCCTCCTCACTCATTTCTTCCTCCATTTTCTAATGCTCTTTGCTGAATATGTGTGAAGGGGCAGAGATGACCTTCACTCACTAAATATGAACCAAGAATAAAACGCAAAGCACCGTGCAGTTGGATGTAGAAGAGGTCTTGAGCTAGTAAATTCTCATTTTCTACTGAGTATTATTACTGCAACACTATTGCATTTTATAAGAATGAGAAATGTAATTTAAAATAACAAACTCATTTATTTAATTTACTTAAATACTAACTGTATGTCATAGTCTTTACTTGCTTTATCTTATTTAATGTTCCTAACCCCTTAATGAAGTAGACGTTATCCTCCCCTTTGCAGATAAAGAATCTTTGGAAGGTAAGTAACCTGGCCAAGGTCACCTGGCCAGCTGTAAAAGACATGGAGGCCGATTCATAGAGATGTCTCAAAAGTCTTCCATAAACATGCCGTGATACGGCTTTTTTGGAACAAACTGACCACAATGTCAAAATTCTTTAAAGTGGAAAATTTGAATGTGCCGTGGAGTTTTTCAAAACTGGGCTTTTATGGCTGAATAGTATTCCATGATATACATAGACCACAGTTTATTAACAAAAGAAGATAGAGACGTTACATCTTTTGTATTTATCTGGATGGATCTGAAGAACATTCTCCTTAGTAAGGTATCTCAAGAAGGGAAAAATAAGCTTCCCATGTACTCAATACTAATCTGAAACTAGTAGATGAACAAGTACAGACCCATCTGAGTGGGGAAAAAAAAAAACAGATTCGAGAAGCCGGGAAGTAGGGGGCTCAGTAAGCTCCTACCTAATGGGCACAATGTATGGGTATATAGCCACCTCCTGGGTGAAGGAATCACGTACAACTGGACTTTTCCTAAAAAAGGTAGACTACGTCACCTAATCGTGTATATCCTTATAACAACCTTAAATTGAAAAAAACTGGGCTTTTAGATGTGTTTATGAACCTTGTCCTTTGGCTTCCTTAAGTGAACACTGCATAAAACTTACAGAGAGCTGAAACTTCATTCCTTCTATGAATTATTGCTCATGGGGTCTGGTAGTGTGCAAAAATTTCATTATTTGTTATCAACATTGTTGTTGCCACTGCCTCCTTCTACTTCATTTATAGGAAACATACAATGCAGTTTTCCAGGTGATTCTGGTTTATACATTTAACCTGTTATAATTATTCATAGCTCTTCTTTATTCTCAAAGAGGCCCTGGCTTGGATGGTGGTTTCTTGGTCACCTTACTAGTTCAACACCGAACATGCCAGAGGTGTCGTATGGCAGGTGCCCACTAGGTGTCAGCAGTGCAACCTCTGGCGAGCGCCCAGAGAAGGCATTTCTTTACAAAAGTCCAATCAGAGCAAATAATTAAGTGTAGTTTAAGAGCTACCTGCAGCCTTGGCTATTCAAAACAAGTGAGAGAGCTGGGGGAGGAGAGAAGGAACAGGTGCTGGGCAGGTCGCTCCTTGCTGGGACCTGCCAGAGAGGGAAGGATTCCCTTCTTCAACAGCAGGACTCCAATGAAATATAGAGTGACTAGAGTGACTGTAGTGTCCTTTTAAATTTTCACTAACAAGACGAAACCAGTATGCAATGAAGCGAGGAAATGGCTTTAAATGAAGAGATATTGTTTTCCCTTCATAAATTTCTCTTCAATTCCTGATTGGATGGAAGTGCTATTTTCTGGAGTCCTGGACTTTCAACAAGTCTGTTGAGTGACTGCAGTTGAGCCGGAAGCCACGTTGCCTGAACAAAAAAGTTTTAAAGAAGATTAGACAACATCTACATGCAGAACTCAATAACAGATTCGGAGTCTTCTTGGAATGACCCATGCACTGTACATATATTACCTCTAACCCAGCTGGCTGCAGCTGCTCCTTACTTCACGTGTGTGGCCAACATCGGTACACAGCTAGGTAGGAGAAGCTGACAAGTATGGATTTGCAAATGTTCGTGACTCTCAGTCCTGGCAATTGGTTGTTACTGCTAGTGGCCCTTGAGTGCTCTGAAGCATCTTCTGATTTGAACAAGCCTGCAAATCCCACTGCCCAGCACACACCTAATGCTCGCTTTGCTGCAGCCAGCTCAGAGCCGGATGAGAGGATATCTGTTTTTGAACTGGATTATGATTATGTGCAAATTCCTTATGAGGTCACCCTCTGGATACTTTTAGCATCTCTTGCAAAAATAGGTAAGTCCCCAGACACCTGGTTTGAAGAGTTGTTTTTTACCAGCTAATCAATGTGAAAATGCCTTGAAGATGATGGGCTAAGAGGATTCTAATTGTCACTGCTATTATATAAAAAATGATCCTCCCTGCAGTCAAGGGAAAGTCATAATTGTTTTCCTTTACCAAGCTATTTAATGCTTCAGGATTATGCTTTGAAATGTAAGAGTATACTTCTGGGTCCTGGGCTGTTTGGGTTTCTTCTTATTTCAAGGTGACAACAGTGTGACATTATTGGGCATGTAAAAGTCTCAAATTCTACGCTGTAAAAAATGTAAAGAATAAAACATGTAGACATAGGAGTGAGGCAGGTTGGAAATCTCAGAAACCACATATGTTTCTTCTGTAAAAGATTCTTCGTTCTCTCTTGGCTGTGTAACTGTGGGCTTCATCAACAGCCCTCACTATGCAGTCTTTAAAAGGGGCATGTGCTCCTTGAAAATTTACAGAAAGCAAGGGAAAAGACAACCACAGGCAACTCTTATCACTCAGTGACGGTGTGTGGGGGCATATAAGATAATATCTGCCTGTAAAATATTGGTTTACACCTAAGCTAATCAGAGCCAGAGGGGCACCTCTTTTTTCCTTTGTGAAATAAAGTGAATTCAATTAATGGATTAAATTCCAACCAAGGGTTCTTTGTGCTCAAAACCAAAGTGATACTCTGTGACTATTTAATCCCTAACCACATCACCTTGTCCCTTTAAAACTAACTTATCTCAATGTGGAAAATTGATACAATTATCTCAATTACTAAGCATAATGTCTCTTTTGCCTCATTTATAAACTTCATGTTGTTTGAATACAAGGTTGCCTTACTGAGATAGAATCTATGAAACATTTTGATGTACATATATACATTTTTTTTCCCTGTGGGATGAGTGTGAAATGTAGGTTGAGCTTTGAGGTCTAGCAGTTAAGTTCTGTGGGCTCCCTCTATTCATCTCACTCCATACCTTGGGTGTTGGGGACAGTGATGTATTTATTAGGTGGTCCTTTATAACTGCTATTCATTTTGAGCTAGTAAAGTGTGAAGATTGAATGGGAATTGTTCTTTGAAAAACTCTTGTGCCATTTGTTAAATGATTAAGTTATACAAAGTCTGACATTTTTAAGCGTTCAAATAAAAATGAGTTTCCAAATAAATAACACTCCCAGTTCAGAGTGGGAGTGGTAAAAGGTCTAAAAACCTTCTGGAAACCACATGAATGCTGATTGAGGTGAATGATTTGTGGTGATTTCACCTGGTACTGGAGTTTTCCTTTGTGAACAATTCTAGAAATTCTATGCTCCCTACCACTCCCCTGCACAACCCAATTCCTCTTCACAAGAGGATATTGATCAGGGAATCAGGAAACTAGATCTGTCACTGACTAGCTAGTTATTCTATCAGTTAACACCTAAATGCAGAAAGGATACATT